TAAGACTGTCAGGGCGGGAAGACTGATTTGCCTTCTGCTCTTTCATCTCTAATTGCCTCAAGAAGTCTGAGTATCTCATATTTCTTTGCTGCTGCTCTCTGATTTTGAAACGTTTCTCACAACTGATTAGTAAAAGAAAAACCAGGGTATGACAGATGACTCACACTCTCATTTCAGCTGCAATTTTATTAACTATGCTTCAGCCTTATTTAGCCGTTTTCTAAAGAAAGAAATTTGGCCTAAGATGGGTTTGTGTGGGCTTTTCACCATGAGGCCAGTCTCCAGACAAAGGCTCGGTGATACGTGGTCTTCAGTGGCACTGGCTCCAGCAGGAGGCAGGAGACCTGGTCCTAGCCCTTGTCTAACTCAGAGTGGCTGTGATAAAGTGGTGGAGAGCATAGATTTAGAGTCCAAACAAAGGGATTGATGTTATGGAAGGAATAAGTAAAGTACAGTATGTAAACTATGGGGAAAACTTTTAAAACTATGATCATAAACCTGAGAGAGTAAAAAGAAATAGTCACATAATCCCAGAATGAAATCCCAGACCTTCTGTATACAGAAAAGGATTCTTCCTATTTGTACCATGTTGATGTCTACTTTGCCTTCCATGGCTGGCAAAGGAGGAGATTCCACAACTTCAGTCCCGAGAGCACAGTTTAGTACAGTGTCTGAGAGTCCGCCTGTCACTCTGTTTTGCTACCTATTGAAATCCTTTTGTCTTGACGTCAGTCCACATTGATTCTTCTGCTCTGAGCAGACGGACTTAGTTCACATTCTTCCCACTAAAGGATTCTTATACCAAAAGGCCTAATAGCCCTTATTCACCCAGCTCCAGCCATCCTAGATATTGCTGTTCTTTTTCTTTATAGGTCCTTGTTTCGGATCCTTCCCAGGCACTTTATCTCTCTTTGACAAAGAAAAGAGCAGATAAAGGGAGGCTATTGTTATCTCAGAAAACATCTCACCTTTGGAGAAACAGAATAAGCCCTACTCCTGATGTTTGGAAGGAGAAAGCAACTTTCCTCTTTTCAAAAAGCAAAACCTAGACCAAGTCAATACCCAATCCCACAATTGTACAGGAAACTCTTGTGAAGAAAAGGGAAGATTATAATGGCACATGGATTGAATATCTCAAAAGAAATAACCTCTACTGCTGACCACTTAATATGAGAGATTGCATATTTCTTTGTGTATAATCTTCTCTCACTGTCAGAATGTTAGCTGCATAAAAACAGAGACTTTTTTGTTTGTTCATTTTGTTTTATACCTAGTAAATGCTCAAAAATATTTATTGAGTAAGTGAATGAATATCACTACTGCTTATCAGTGCCTCCAATCATCTCATCTGGTTTTTGATGTCCGGAAAAACTTGTCTTAAAAATTACATGATTAAAATAGTTCAGGAGAAGCTTTCCTTGTCTTTCCATATGAACTCAGATGTGTTTTCCAGGAATAAGACTGCCAAGTACCTAATCCAAAATTTCCTTCTCTCTGTGGAATATGAGCTGTTCCAAGGTATAACATAAAATAACAATCCAGGGAATCCCTTTTGCTCTTGTGAACTGACTTTTCATGACTATAGATAAGGGACATAAGGAAGCTTTAATTTGGTAATAAAAAAGCAAGTCATTGGAAGCTTCTAAAAGTGTTTTGGGGGTAGAATGGATGTCATATGTAACAGATTGGGAAATGACAAAGAGAACCCGAATAGGGCCAAAAGAGGGTACATTAAAATTTAGGAATGTAAATATAAACAGCATATACATATACTAACAGGCCAAAATCAAGTACTTAGTAGAAAGGTTTTATTGCTAAGCAGTGAAGACTCTCAGCATAGGTCTGGGCTCTAAGGATGAGGTTCAGGGAAGGGAATTGGGCGAAAGCAGGGTAGGAAAGCAAAGCTTTCATTGCCAACATCTGGGCTTGTCAGTCAGGTGGACCCTGGCTTGATCGCAGCACCCATCGCAGCATTATGAAATTGAGCTGCTTCCGTACGTGATGTGCCCGAGTCATCATTTCATGGCCCAGTAAGGCCTTTACCGTATCAGTAGGCTGAGTGGTGAGGGAAAAGGGAACAATGCACTAGTTTTCATTATTTCCTTCAACAATTTTTCATTGAGTCTCTACTACACAGAACCCTAGGAATAGATGCTGGGGCTCCATGGAGCTATGCTCTCAATGGAATTTAAGGCCTAGTGATCAAAGGGAGATTATCTAGATAAACACATGAACAGTTTTATAACTACAGGCTAAGTTAAAGAGAAAACAAATTAGGTGAGAATACTTACTAAGGAATACTAGCATGTGTGGGACACAGAACCCGTGTGGGTTAGGTAAGGCTCCCTGGAAGAAATGGCACTTGAGCTGAGATCATAAGCATAGATAAGAGTTTGCTGAATGAACATGGTTGGTAAGAGAGGGGGGGAAAAAAAACAGTCCCCAAAAGAGAACATGTGCAAATTTGTTGTGAGAATACATAGGGGACAGACTTAGTTATTGAAATATTGTAGCCACTGAGGGGTGAAATCTTTATACCAGGCATCATTTGAATCATTTAGAGCTAAGACCCTAACATGATACTGTCCTGGTCATTATTTTCCAGATTATCAATTTCTCTACTCATTTTTTTCTTTTACGTCTCTTTTTGCCTCACTTTTTGAATTTGAAGCACATGACCGCTTCCTGTTTGTGTCTTCCTCGTCAAGATCCACAAAGATAAAACTTAATCAAAATCCATAAAGGTAAAAGAAGACCACAAAAATACCAGCCTATTGGGGATGGGAACTGCTTATTGAAAAACAGTGAGGTGGCAGAAAGTTCTCATAGTTAAATGGGATAAGATTTTGGAAAGCCTTGGAAGCCAGAATAGGAAATTTGGACATGAAATTATGGACAATTATATTTTTATCTCTAAAGCAGTGAAGGAATATGATAAAGTAATTTTTTTAGAAAATTCGTCTGAATTTGTTATGAAGGGTTTACTCACTTGAAGAAGTGTATATAGTTCCTATGGAGGCAGACACTGAATTATCTCCTAGAGCGCGTCAGAACAGTTCAGCCTTATTTCTTAATGTGTGGTCTGCATACACATGCTCCAGATTACCCTGGAATGATTGTTAAAACCAAGATTTGGGGGGCCATATTCTAAATCTACTAAATCAAAATCCCTAGGATGGAGCAGGAACTTTTCATTTGAACAAGCACCCCAGGTAATTTGTGGCCAATAAGCATAGTGGACTAGCGGGCTGAATGGGAGCAAAAGGCACTGAATTCAGAGCATCCAGCTGGGCTGCTAGGGAGTAATCCAGTTGATTACAACAGAGACTACAATGGTTACCATGGGGATTCAGAACCCGAGTAAACCTGGGAACTACTTCAAAGGAAACATAACATCATAAGGCGGTGGAAGGCTGGATTTAGGAAACAGAAGAGAGAAGAGAGTCCTGGAGCACTGTCATCCCTGACTTCTGAGGGGCGGTCAGTGACCAGAGCCCTCATTAGGCCCCTGCATATCAGGGATGTTGTTGACAGTGAAAGGAGAATAAAAGGACAGGCTCTGCATTAATGTGAAGGTGCTTAAAAAATAAGAAAAGGGAAAAAAATGAGAGCTAACAAGAAAAAAGTAACCTGGTCTACAGAACTGAGGGAGCTGTCAATTAGAATCAAGTTACCGTGCAAGTCATCGTAGCCGCTCTTCTCACCTTAAAGGTGCTTAACGAAAGGTGCTTAAAAAAAGGGAGGCAGGCAGATGGCATGGGATTTAAGCTCAAGCGGAGAGTCTGCACAAAAATGAAGGGGAGAGGAGTTGAAATTATAACTAAGAAAATTCTGAATCCAGGGACAAAAAGAGAAAAAAGAAAGGTAATAAGGTTAGGGACTTTCAAAATAAAAAATTATCAGTTGCTGGCAATTTTGAATAAGAAAAACAACAGAAGATAGGTGGGGCATGTCAGTATTATTTATTGTCCTAATAGTCTCTTAACCTTTATAATATTGCCAAATGTAGATACATAGATACAAATACCTAGACAGATAGAGAGAGGTGAAAAGGAACTTTGTTGTCTTTGCAACCTTTTTTCCCCCCACTAGAAAATGTGAAGTATTCTATACCTTGATGGTAGGTTTCCACAGTTTACTGGAATGTTAACAAAATTGTTTGAGTATGCTTCTATCTGTCAGATAAGTGTGCATTGAATGAGAGATGTTTATTGTGCTATTACTTTTAAATCTGATGTTTATAAGCACATTTAATTTCTGTGCACAAGAAGGCATACTAACACCAAACAATAGTGGCATGCTCAAAGCAAGAGATCAAACCTTGAAATCTTACATGTTAATGAGTTATTCAGTTTTCAGAAACTTAAGTTAATAAAAATTGGCAATAAAGCAATAAAGCTCCTTAAAATTCCTTTTGTTCAGGATCCATTGTGTTGATCTTAAGGCTCCATTTGTTCTTCTAAAATGATTGAAGCTGAGATCTCCACCTAGTGGATTTATAGGATTTTACAGGTTTTACAGAAATTCTTGATTTTTTTTCTCTTAGAAAATTAACAGATTTTAAAGACTTCTACTTAAGACCAAGCATAATTGTCAACGAACAGTCTCAAATGGTTGAAATATACCAATATGCATATCAGCTAGACTACAGTTAACAAGCAAAGCTCAACTTTTATTTACATTCCATAATGAAGAAAGCAGATCAGGCACAAATATGAATATATAATCATCTGTGTGGAAAGCAATATTGTAATACCACTAATTGAGATGTGTATAGTAATTTCCATAAAATAAACATCAAGTGTAAATCTGCTCAAGTACTTTTTTCTTCTTCAATCTTTCATTTACTTAAAACTTTTTTTTTAATTGACTTTCTTTTCCAAGACTAGACAAAATTTTTCTTTCCCATATCCCCATCCCTTAAAGAAGAAAACTCATTTGTGTCAAATATATCTTGCGGCTCCATTTTTGATTTTTGCGTTATATTCAAACATGTGCTTTTAGTTCACTGATAACAAAGAGTTGCGAAGGATTTTTTTCTCCCAAACAAAGCATTTGAAATGCATGCAAAAGCTGAAGGAGTTGGTGTGTCCTTTTGAAGAAAGCCAAAGTAGAAAATGATTGTTATTTGAGTTATTTTGTTCACTTTGTTCTGCCTCCAAAGGTGATGTATTAGCATATTCGGCCGATGGTGGATGGTGTATGTGTTAGAGCAGAGTTTCCAGCTTCATTTATTCTTCTAGGAATTAGAGGCACCTCATTTTGTGCCTCAAAACTAAATATCTTTTACCTCTGGGAAGAGCGGAAGTGCTTTGAGTGTCTCTGCTGCCACTGCACCTTCTCTCTGTGCTCTGTCACCGTGATCCGGTCAAATATTTGGAGACTCTCTCAAATCATGCATATTACTGTTTATTTGAATGTCTGCTTCACTAGGAGGTAGTCTACCTTCAGTTTCATGGGAACTCACCATACTCAAACTCTCAGCTGTAATAGGAGCCTCAACAGAGCTTGAACCATGTAATGTAAGGGTTTTACTTTTTCCATTTTCCCAAGTTTCCTGCTTTTCTTTTGTCGTGCCTTTTAAGGTCATCTGTCTGGTCTGTATTAACATACTAGAATTTGCTTTGCTTTTATCAGGCATTTTTTCCTCCTCTTTTCCTACTATTTTTATCTCTAGTGCTTCGATGCCTTCATCTCTGGGCAATGCATTTGTGCCGTCAGTTTCTTTCTCGCTGCTATTGGTTAGATGCCAGATGGCTTGAGTACTAAGAGAAGTACTGATATCCTTGGGAAGTTCCATTCTATTTTGGGATGGAATAAAATTCATCTTCATAAATGCGAGGTTGCCCTTGGACTCTGTTCGAGGAATGAGAGAGGAATCACATATTTCTGTCTTAGGAAGCTTTTTTCCTACATCCGCTCCCCCGTCTGTAATACAATTTTCCATAATCTGATGTGATATTTTAGGTCCTGTCATTAATGTTTTTTCTGCATTCCCAAGTTCTTCCTTACTTGAGTGTTGCACTACATGTTGTAACAGTTGATTCTGATCTACAATGTGTTCGTTGTAGGTGTCAGTCTTGCGGACACGGACAAGGTGTGTTTGATTTTCCAAGGACAGAGAAAACTGGGTTGGCACACTGGTCCCAGATTTGTCCTGCTCCATGTGCTCAGCAGGCTGTATCGCTCCTTGGTCAGTAGCCCTCCTGGAATGGCAGGATGCTAAAACATCACTGCCTGTATCTTCCCAAGAAGCTGGTAGACAACTGGACGCTACCAATGCTGGGCGAGGTGCATCTTCCATTTGCTCAGCTGAGAACTGAGAGTGTGAGTGCCTGTGTTCAGCTACAGTGAGAGTGAGCCCAGGCAACGTGGCTGGGCTGCCATCAGAAATGAGGCCAGGAGGGTGACGGTTGCCTTCCAGGGAGCTCTGATTGACTACAGAGAAGTTGTTAGCACTGGGCATAGGAGCCTTTTTAGTATGTTTTTTGTAAGAGGGGGTCTGATTTGGGGCATGCTTGGGAGGCAGTCTGTTTGAAGTGAGTGCAATATAGTTGTTACTTTCTGGCTGTTGGGGAAAAACTGCAGACGACAGGAGGTTTATTTTGGCTTCTTTCTTAGAAGCTTTAGATAACTTATTAGGCGGTAAAAATACTTGCTTGCATTTTGGAGGGAGTTCCATCGAGGATTTTTCTGGATGGACTCTGGCTTTTCTAAAAGGGCATAAATTTAATTTTATCCTTAAATTTTGCTTTCTAAGTTTCCCTTTGAGATCAGATCGATTGGTTCTCTTTCCTTTCAGAATCTGTGTATCAGGAAGCCATTTTCCTAGTTTGCTTCTCTCTCGCACATTGCTACATTTTTTGAGATTCAAGGTGGTCAGGTGGTCGCTTTGATGTTTCTGCTGTTTTGAACCGGTTGTTGTTTGGCGTGACATCACCAGCCTATTTTTTTCAACTAAACCAGGATCATGGAAGCTAACACTCCTAGGGGAATATGTTTTCTTGATATTTGTTGATAACCCCGATAACTCCACATTGTCCTCACTCATAAGGAATTTTTCTATTGCACTATAAATTTGGATTTGCTCTTTCTTGGACTTTGAATGTTCTCGACGATGTGGCTTCTTTTCTTTCACATAATCTTTAAATTGATCGTAGGGCACATATTTACAGATAAGAGAATTTTTTGGCTGCAAACACCTAGGCCTGCTCCGTTTTAACAGTTCACAAGGATCATCATATTTTGATTCATGTTTTTGTAAGATCTTTTGTACATAGTGCTCCTCAGGCTCATAAGGCTTGGATGATGAGCTTGTAATGAAATGTCGCTGCCTGTGAGGTTGTAAGCCATTGTCTTCTTTTTCTATTGGAAGCTGCCATGATTCATTTGATAAATGCTTTTCAAGACTTTCTCTTGCCAAAGATGAAGCTCGTGTTGCATATCTTCTACTAAATGTGTCACTGCTGATATCTGTGGAACAATAAATGCAGACATTTAACACTGAGCGCAGTCTTATTACCCCAACTGAACAGATGCTTAGAAAGCTTCTCAAAGGTGTAAAAATGATTCCTCTAATTATGGCAATTCTTGAATATTTTCTAATTCTTAGTCAAACCCACGAAGGACATTTGGCAATTTGCTGTGTTTGCAATGGCACTCTCTATGGCCACATTTTAATCAGTTGGGATGCTGACTTAAAAGTTATGGAATTGGAAATAAAAATATTCAGTATTCAAAGGTATACATCTTTTGATTAGTTGTTTGCTGGTTAAGTAGCTTTAAATATTAGTAATACTTAAATCTTTTTCAAATAACCATAGTAATTTTTTCTGCATTCCTTTCTCATTTGGAACTGAACATGAGAAAAAACATAATAAAATATCATAGTGTTCAAGTTGAAAGTTTCAACAACAAAAGAAAAATGCTTATCATAATCTTGGATCCATCAAAGCAGAGATCATACCTGTTTTATGATCTCAACACTTAATACGGTATTTGTTAAACATTTGTTAAATGAATAAGTATTTTAGAATATGGCCTGCTCTATGTTACAAAAATCTCTGTCTGGGATTTTTACAAAGTATAGGTTAATAATACATGTTAAATAATATTAATGACAAAAACATATACTAAGAGCCAGGCATTGTATTAAATATTGTACATTCATTATCTCATTTAATAATCACAAGAACCCTGACCTATTGGACAAATCCTATTACCCTATCACTTTTACAAATGTAAAAACAAGCTTAGGGAGGTTAAATGTTTTCCCCCAGGCACATGCCCGTAAAATGACATGGACAGAACTTGACCCTGGTCTGTTTGATGCTAAATCTTGTCCTCTTAACTACATTGCATATTACATTTAAAATTGCATCTTATTAGTGGACTTTCTCAATATTGTGAAATTGTTTGTTTTATCCAGACAAAGAAAGAATTATTTCTGTTCAATGATAGAAAGGAAGAGGTGAACCAAGCCTCAGAATAGCATTTAATATTATCCAAGATCTGCTTCAACTTTCTGGGTGACCTTGGAGAAGCCACTTACTCTCTGGATAGCAGAAGATTAGACTAGATGGAAACTTTATGTGGATATAACTTTCTGTGGGTATAAAATTTATGTGGGTGTAAAATTATTCTGAGGAAAGAATGCGTAGCTTTTATCAGATTCTAACAGAGTTCTGTGACTCAGAGATAAATATGAAGAGCTATATGATGAGAGCACAGATAACGTCCCCCCTACCCCTGAAACACTGGCTCTGTGCTTCCCAGTCAGAAGGCATCATCAGAGTGACACTGACATCGGTTCTGGAGCTAGTATGGTCTTGGTTGATTTCTCCTCAAATACCTGTCCTCTCCAGCTGCAGTACAATGCCTGGCATGTAGCAGAATTTCAAATGTTTCTTAAAAGTGCATCAGTTTGACCAACCTGTGTTCTGTGTGTGAGGCAAGGGCCTAGGTTTTAAATGGTTAAGGGGCCCTATTCCCTTCAGTGTAGGATTTTCCCACAGGGAAGTTAAGGCATTGGGCACAGCTAAAATGAAACATGTGCCTAAGGTATGATTCTATTGAAAAGCTAATAAGTTAAACCAATCTGATCTGGCTATTATGGCAAATGTTTATTTCCTTGGCCATTCCTCTTTTGAGTCAAATCAGCAATCGCCAGAAACTGGTAAAAACTGCAGTCTGGGTATGCAATAGAATAAATTCACATCCTGCCTTATGCTACACATGAAATAACATACAGTTTCATTCTTTTCCAACGGTCCCCAAATCCATCTTAGGGCCTGATCCTCATGGTAAGCATGCCTGGGTGCAGTACCTCTGTCATTCACATTCTGAGAGAAAGCTCTGCTTGTTGTAATCCAATTCAAGTAGATGGCAGGAACCTCTTTACAGAGCAGCTGTCAAAGTTTTCAATGCTGAGCCTGAAAGCATCGCCTTACTATTCAGGGAGGAAAAGGAAGACATTTAATTCATTGCCTCCACCTAGATATTGACATCACCCATGTACAGTGGGTAGATGTCACGGCCAGATTCGCTTGGCTCCCAACATGGGACAATGAATTAAGTCCTGACTTTCCCTGGACTGGGAAGTTATCATCCCTGACAGCTCAGCAAGCAAAGTATGTGTCTTGACATCATTCCTGAAATGAATCACTAGCATTAGAAGGCCCATTCTTCTAACATGTCATGCTCTGGGAAGGTTGCTTACTGCAGAATTGGCATTAGAGCTCGAAAGATGTTAGTATGGAAGCCGATCCTCAGCCTTCCATAAATCTTAACAGCACTATAGCTATTTAAAAAGGTTCTTTTATTTTTTTTTAACATTGTTCAATGTTGGATCACAAAATTCACTTTACAGCAAGCACAAGATGTACTCTCAGCTCCTGAGGGTGGGGAATCTCCACCTATACCTCGCCCCAAACTCGCACACACACACACAAAGTTTATGGAAAAGGAATAGACGGGCGCTACAGTGATTTTTATTCTCCTGTTGAAGAAATTAAAAGAGGCTACCTCTTTCAGAGGGATTTAAACAGAGAGCGATTTTCTAAAACAAGACAACTCACCTATTGTTCTTCTTACATGCTGTGGCAGAGTTTGAGGTTGGACTCCCCCAGGCTCAAGGTTCCTTGGACTTTCAACTCTCTTTGGACAGTATCTTGTAAGTAAGCCTGCTTCATTAAAAGCTGCCATATTCCCGGGAGGCTCTGAATATCCTGACTGCAGCAACCTGCCACCAAGGCAGGCACGAGTGCTGCCTGCTTCATGGTCCTTCCCTTCCAGGTTTCTAAATGACCCGGCAGGGGCTGTGGACTCAGAGGTCTGTGCTGCTTGATGGCTGTTTTCCTGGAAAAGTGACATTTCCTTTCTGGACCCCACAATGGACATGACCTTTATCTCGTTTTCCTGAGTTAAGTGGCAGTTACAGTACCCCTTAGCGTGGTGATTTCTTGCCTCATGAGCACACAGGGATTCACCAAAGGTTCTGCAACAAAGCTTTCCTGATGTGTGTTCATTTACTTTGCCTTGTTGGAGTTTCCAGTTAAATACAACTAAACCTAGGCAAGTGAGACCAACAGCTCCTGTGACAAACAGAAAGACCATTAAAAGATAACATCATAGGAAGAAACATATAAATCACCACATGTGAAGTCCACAAATATCAGGGTTAATGGCCTAAAAGGACATAGGAATGGGTGGGAGGTCTATCACCATGTGGAAAAAGAGCAGTTCAGACAGAGGCTATACTATTGACACATTCTGTTTTCTAATTTGAACTTTTTTTGTGTGTGTCTATTAAAATGATAAGAAATAATACCATCTGGAATGTCTTTTGTTAAATAATAGAAGTTGTTTTGGTTTTTTCCCCCCATGGACTGAAATTCACTCAAGATAAAATAATTCATGCATTAGAATTCTTTTCCTGCCTATGGGAAATCAGTTTAATTCCAAATTTCCTATTTCTTAATCCCGTAGTCAATCCCCAAAATAGTCCATATTTAATATATATGCTGAAATTATCATATACCACATCCCTTCCTCAAAAAGAAAAATTGATTTTACATGGTATTGATATCTTTTGAGCGCACCTGAAAATTCACCCCCTAGCTCAATGTACCTCCTTGGCTTCCTATCATAAAGGCCAAACTCCTTGTCATCCAAGGCTTGGTGTGATCTGGCTATAACCTCTCTTTTTAGCCTTGTGTTTCACCATATTTCAGATTCAAACACTATGCTTCAAACTATCCAATTCATTAGTCTAAAAATATACTTCTAAGCCTTTGTGCATGCTCTTAGGGATGCTTATAACACTTTCTCCTCTCTCTGTTAATGTGAATTTTATCTACCCTCTCAACTCTAAATCCACACCTCCAAATTCTTTTTCTCAGTCTTGCAAAGATCATTCCCTTCTACGAAGGTCCACAACAATATGATTAACACCTAAGTTTAGAATGCCTGGTACTATCATTTCCTGTTCTGTGTAGGTATAGTTTATCTTCTGAATAAAATCGCAAAGGCAGTGTTTCTCAAACTCAGGCTCAGAGTCTAACATGTTTCTACCTTGCTGTTTCCCATCTTCATAAATGACATCATCAATCACCTAGATGTTTAAACCTCAACTCCCTCCATATCACAGTCATTTCCTTTTTATCTTAGCATCTAAAACAATATAAAATTATTCTGTTCACTTATTAATTTTCTTGTTCACTGTCTGCCCTTCCCTGCTAGAATGAAGCACTGTGAGAAAATGGACACTTTTGGTTTTATTAAAAAATGTATCTCCAGTGCTCAAGACTCTCGCACAGAGGAGGCACTCCAGAAATGTTTATTGAATATTAAATAAACATAAAGAATTCTGTTTATGAATTCTAATAATGAAAACTGATGAGTGGTCTAATCTTACAAATCTCCAAAATGGCAATCAGGGAGACGTGGTGTCAGTATTGACTGATTTACAAACAATGTGTTCTAAGTCCAGCTCTGCGTGTAAACTTTGTGTGACCTTGGGCAGGACAGTTCCCCCAGAGAATTCAGAATGAGTGATATAAGATGTGAATGAGATGATATCAACAATCTAGACTCATTGGTTGGCCGTATCTTGCCTGGTTCTCTCCACTACAGACAACTTTAATGAAAATGTGATGATATATTTTGAACTTGAAAGAAAAATGAAGATTTCAGACATGGTTGTTTCATTTTTTTCTGTTAAAAATAAAGATTAAACAAAAATAATGATGGTTTCTAGTAAAATCCTCCAAATTTTGTATAGTTCACTAAATCTTGAGGTCTTATAAGTTCCATTCAATTTATTTGACAACAATAAATCTTGGAGAGTGCTATAACATATTGAAATAATTTAATTTCTATTAAAGACACAGTGTTTTTTAAAAGTGGTACCAAAAATTAGATCAGAATATTGTTATTGCTAGGTCTTAGAGTTTTATTTATTTCCAATGAGGGCTTTGGATTTTAAGTGTTTAAAATGTATGAAAATAATAAATTTTTGGAAATACTGCCTCCCTTGTGTCGAATAAGGAAACAGGATTCAGAGCCTTATTCTCCCAATTTTCTGGGGCAAATTTTCTAACCTCTCTGAGCCTTATTTTATTCCTCTTCCAAATGGGGATAATTAATAACATCCAGAGATTAAGTGATATAATATATGAGACATGTTTAATACAGTGTTTTGATAGACTAAGGCTGAATGAATGATCATTGTGGCTTATGCCAACGACAATTGCCGGTGCTGTTGTTTGGGTTTTGTATTGCCCTGTTAGGTCCTACGACACTCAAGCTGTTAGGTAAAAAAAAAAAAAAAAAAAAAAAAAAAAATTCCCAAAAGCAAACTGGGGAGAAAATACTTTGTATGGTTGAGGCAGGTACTAAACCAAACAGCAAAGGAAAGAAGGACCTAAATGTTCTTAAATATATGCATCAGCCACTGAAATGGGAGTAGGCATAATCCGACTGCAGAATAAAGTTTCCCCTCTATTTGTGTCTAATTGGCAAGGGGAGCATCATCGACGTTAGAGCTTTGTCTGTATCGCATTACCAGTTAGGTATGGTCGTTTTTTGTTTGTGCAGAGAGAAAAAGCAGCAAATGAAGCTTGTAGGCAGACTGAACGAGCTATTAAGAAGATGGTTGAATTTTCATTGCCATGGGCATTGTTGCTATTTTTAAAAACTGTTCTGACAATCTCCCTGAGTTGGAAAAACAAAACAAAATAAAAAGCAAAATTAATGATAAATTCTTATTGAAGTATTGGAAATGCATTACAGCTTCTTGAAAGCTTTCTATTTTTATCCATCAGGTCACAGAATAAGCAGTTCAAGATGTCAGTGTTTGGTGCCAAATAACCACTTATCAGTTTTAAATTAACTGAACGTGATTATTTATATTATTTTGAATTGTTGTGTTTATCTATAGCTGAAGAAGAAAATGGAATCAGAGGCCAAATTAGAGGTCGGAGTCTTTTTGCTGTTATCTAGAGGTATACGCAAGTGACCACAGTTTGACTGCAGGAGGAGCAGAATCTTAATGGAATAAACTGAATAAACTGAGGCCAGAAGTCAGAGCTGTTAGAAGAAGAATCGCTTTCAAAAACAGTATTTTTAACAATGACTCAATGAAAGATACATTATGATGATAAACTCTCACACTACAACCCAACATGTCATAGTTTTATTTATAGTTTTATTTATAATTTATCAGAAGGTATTCATGCATAGTAAGCTTCCTATCATTTTGACAAAATCTTTGGAGTCTTTAGAATTTCTATCTTTCTCTACACTAATGCAGAGTTGTTAACTTAGCAAAATCTTTTCTGATAATAGATGTAAAAGATACCTAAAAGATATTGAAAATTACCCTATTATAATATTTCCAAAACAATGTCCTACAAAACATAATTCAGTAAAATCCTTGTGACAAAGAGGGTTTATGGTCAATAAGTTTGAGAAATATTATTATTGAGAAATATTATTTCTTCCTCTTAGATGCATAATGCTCATTAGCAAATGAAAGGCAATGAGAAATTCTGCTGTGAAGAAGCCTGTTTCACTTTGTTTAATCCAACATTGCCCAAATCTATTTGAACCCCACAACATATTGCTTGTATGTGAATCTGTGTTTCTTTTTATGCAATATCTATTAATTATCTCCTAGAACTAGTATTCTAAGAAGCACATTAAAAAAAAAGCTATCTCTGTCCTATTGTTTCATCTTTCACAGTAAATTATTTCTTAGCACATATAATTACTGACATAGCTGCCCAGGTTTTGAAACAATTTATCTTTCTGAGAGGATTTGAATTGACTTTCAAATGAGTTTGAAAAACTAGTGGTAGTTCCTTTGCCTAGACCTGATGCTGGTCTCCATCTCTCCTGATTACAGGTCTAACTTAGAAGTTAGACACCTGATGTTCAATTAATTTGCTGGAAATCTGCTATGGAATGATTATTTATAGTACATATTCAAAATACATAATTTCATTCCTGGATGTGAGCCTCTGGTCTTCCAGCTTTGAGGAACCCTTCTCCCAGCACACATGCACGCGCATGTGCACACACACATGCAATTCTCATCACCATGGTTACCACAGGTGCAGAGAATTTTACCATGCACTGCAAGCATAGGGGGAAACACATATTGAGGTAAATAACACAAGAAATCTCATGCAGATCTGCTCTTCTGCTAATGACACCAAGGATCACTTTATACTATTCATTCAGTTAGATGGAATGGCAGCTGATACATAATTTAAATTTTTTTAACAACCATAGAAAATTTGAAGGGTTGAATATTATCTTCTCCTTAGTCTGTGAAGGGATGGGCCAGGTTTTTGAAAGAGACAAACAGAAATGTTAGAAGTCAAATCCCCAAACAGGAGGAAACCAAGGCACAGAGAGGTCAAGTGACTTGCCCGAAGTCACACAACAAGTAAAAGCAGAGCAAGGATTCAAACCTGGGCAATCCAACTTCAGAGCTCATGCATTTCATCACTCTACTCTACAACCACCATAGAAGTAGGTTGCATATGATTGTCATAATAGCACCTCCTCACGCACTTGCTAAGCCCACTGGTTCTCACTACAACACAGAGAGGCACACATATATGGGTGCCTTGAAGAAAGAAGTAATCTATGTCTCATAGCATTTTTTAATCCCTAACTCCTTCCATCTTAACGAATGCACCAGTGCTTTTCAACTTATGGACAATTGATAAACTGTAGATACTATTCCCTCATTATGAACAAGAATGCTGAAGTCTACACAGCAATTTCACTTGTTCAGGATCACAGTGATAGTTATACCAGGGATAGAGCTCTTGAATTCTGGTGCACTCATTTTCTTTATGTCAGACAGCTTTTCTGCAACAGGAAATTCTTGCAACCTGTGCCAAATCAGCTAACATCCTCCTACATCTACAGATACATCCCTTCCCCTACCCTTCCACAAGCCCTGGCAAATTTTTCCAATTGCCCGGGAAAGGCATCACTTAGTGTACGTCAAGAATATGGACAAGAGGAGGGAGAAGAGGAGGGTACGCTTCTTCCTGGCCTACCTGCAAAGCCCAGGACAGTCAGCAGGGCCACATCCTGCCCTGGGAGGAGGGGGCTTCTGTCCTTTAGAACCAGAGTGAGGTTGGAAGCCTTGGGATCGCAGTTGGTGTCCGACAGCCTTAACACACTCTTTGCACCAGCCCCAGCTGTGGCAGGTGGCTGACAATGTAGGGCTTTGGCATTTCTGAGCTTGTGAGCAGAAGACATAACGTAGTTTCTTAAAAACCGAGCAAGGGGGTAGAGATCACAAGTACAGCTCCACTGGTTCTTATCTAAGCTCAGGAGGATTAAGTGCTTCAGCGGAGTGAAAACATCTGGCATTTGGGCCAACCGATTTCGGGAAAGGTCCACTTCCTGTAGTTGAGGCAGGAACCGGAAGGCATCTTTCCCAATGTAGGAAATAAAATTGTTAGATAAATCCAGATGCCTGAGACTGCGGAGATTTGTGCCTCCAAAAGAACTGTCTGTCAGATTAGTGATCTGATTCCCATCCAGCTGGAGCCGGGTCAGGCCCCTGGTGTTCCTGAACCAGGATCCTCGCAGGGTCCGGAGGGCGTTATTGCTAAGCACCAGCACCCGCAGGCTGTGAAGCTTGCTGAAGGTGTGATCCGTGAGCGCAGAGCTGGATATCTGGTTGTGCTCCAGCAGCAACGTCTGCAACTTTGAAAGGCCATAGAGGGCATCTTCCTGCACATCCTCAATGCCATTTCTGCTCAAGGAGAGCAGGGCAAGATTAAACAGGAGAGACAGATTTGTGCTCTCTATAGAGGAGAGGGATCCATCAGTGATGATCAAAACTCTTGTGGTCACAGGGGCTGCTGTGGGGAAGAAAAGCACAGACTGGAAGCAAGACACAAGTGGGAGGGGAGTGCGGTGGAGAGCAGAGATAATCAATACTCTCTGGAGAAATCTGATCACCTGGGTGAGAACAATAAACAAAATGAAAACAAGTCTCTGATTTCTCAGTTTAAGGGGAAGCCAGGCTCTTTATCAGAATGATGGATTTTTATATTCTTTGTTGCTATGACATGTTTATTTGAGAACATAAACCCATCTGTTCCTTTACGTCAAAGTTAATTCATTGTTTAGGATTATTGTCACTGGTTTTTTTGAAGGTGGTTTTTCAGGCTGCTTCTCAGTGAGCCTGTGTGCACTGACCTGCCCGAGCCCTACTAGCCCAGTACAGGTTCACCAAAAAGCCGAGCCTGTGTCTGAGCTTGCTAACCAGTTTCCCACTAGCAATGCATATTTATGCTGTGAACTCAGTCATCTTTTTCCTCAAACATAAAGGTATGGGTTGAGGCTGGGAAGGGCGGTCGTGGGGGAGGGAGTGAGAAGCAGCGCTGTCTTCTGCTTTTTAGCTCCAGGCTAAAAGTTGGCGACTTGGTAAGCATCTATATTCTCTGCAGACAACCCGAGGATCTGTCGGTGGGGTTCTCATTATAGCCGGGGCCATCTCGGCCTCCTGTCTAATATCTGTTCCCTCCAATGAAGTCCATCATGTGATGACAGGTGGTACACAGGGCTTCCAACTGTTAAATCCCTTCACCATAATCACCTCAGAGCTATCACTGCACTGTCATTAGAAATCAAAGCATTTTAACTCAATAAAGATATATTATAATCAGGAGTTATTGTAACACATCTTTCTCATGCTAAAATTGTTTTGACTGCAAATGACAGTGTCATAAGGATAGAAGAGTCCATTGTCCCTGGGAGGTCTACAGGTGATATTAGAACAATCAACCATGAGGGAAGCAAGTCACAATTCCCTTATGAAATGCAGACTGCATCACTGAAACAAAGAGATTTTTAAAATGTAAAAGACAAAGGATTTCACGGCACCTTCTTTGTAAGAATTGCTCCCATCTCTACTGCACAAGCAAGCTTAAATCATGGTATTAAAAAAAATATTTATTACTGATTATTTGAATTCTAGTCATTCTGGCCAGTTAGGCACTTTGTCTCATCATTTTTTTAATGAGTTGAAGGAGTTTTGTCTTTATGGATCCCCAGTCCTCTAGGGATTTGTCAACTTTAAGGGAATAGACTATTGTTTCTGTCAATTACTTCCTGTCTAGGACTAGACAGACATTCTACTCAGGTCATCCATTTACTTCTTTGTGTTTTTGAGATTTAACCTCACAATTTTGGTATTCTGTAAATGAGAAGGAAGCTACAGAGGTGCAGCAATGTAAATGAGTAATATTTGTTTCTTATAGACATCTGCTATCTCTGGGCAAAAAAATATGTATAATAAAGTTAAGAATTTAACTTAAAGTTGAAAGGGTGGAAGTTTAGTGTTTAAATGTGTTCAGTACTGATTGGAAACAGTGTACAACCAACTAGCCTTGAAGCTGTCTCTCTCCTGTCAGGGATGACAATAGCAACTACCTCTTAATTCCCTTAAAGTTGTAGGATTTTAGAAATGAAAGAAATCATCATCTTCTTCTTCATCTTAACTCAAGCTTATTTCTGAAAAATTTTCATTGGTAGATTTTATAACTTGTTTATCTCTTCTTAGATATCAGGATGTAAATCACATTCTCCTCAAATTTGTTAATAAGGTGTCTTATTAAATTGTTGACTTAAGCAAGCAATATGTAATGAATACAGGCAGTATCTTGTTAGCATTTCTACAGCTCATTTACCATCAGTAAAAAAAACTAGACTTTCAAAATTAGGTGCACTTTGATGATAATCTATTTTTCTGGTATATCACTTAATGTTCCTAATCTATTTTTCTGGCGTATCACTTAATGTTCCTAATGCTGAACAATTGCATTTCAGGTTTCTGATTCATTGATATTTTTCCTGGCCAATGGTAGAGTTCAAATTTGTACAAAGTGTGAACAAAAATATAATTTAAGTAATCTATTTCTTCCTTTTATATAAAAAGTGTAGCTGCATGAAAAGGTAGTATTCTCCTGTAATAGTGAAATGTCGTAATTACCTTGGAAAGTTTTTAGTTTTGGCTGAGACCACCAGGAACAGGAAAATAACATAATGCTACCAGTCTTCAGTCCCTGGGAATGATTTGCTCTTTAAAAATTTACCTTTTTAGGCTGAGCCCAGAAAGCAGTCAGTACAACGAAAAGCATGACAATGAATTTGCCAGGCACACTGAACACAGCTTTTTAGAGTTATTGGTGTTATTACCTACTATATAGGTTAACTGGTGACAGAGAGTTACGTCTTTGGTGCACACTGAACATGACGCAGGGCAAGCCGCCGCCAACCGCAGCATGATGGCAGAGAGTATGAGCCATCCCCCTGAAAGGAAAGTAGAGGATAATGCACATCATAATGTTGATATTTATTATCCATCATTTCAGTACATTTAGCTCCTGAGGTATTTTGGTGATATTTGCCTTTCAATGAGCACCTTGGGTTCCACAAGATGCCAGATAAATGGCTAGAATCCTTAATTTGTATAGAATTTAAACCAAACTGTTAAAGCATTTGACTGGAAATTCAGAGAGCTCACATCCAGGACACACTCATTACTATGGATTATGAAAAGATTAAGTTACTTTGTAAAATACTTTACAGTTTTCTGAGCTTCATACATACCTTCTATAATTCTTTTAATGCTGCAACTCAACTTGAGGTTGAGAAAACTGAAGCTCAGAATGGTTAATAAACTATCCAAAGTCATGTAGTATTAGATATCTAACTCCAAGTCTTTTAACTCTTAATCCAGTGTTCTTTCTAGTGTGCAGAAGCTAATCTTAGGCACTGAATCTCACATAACTGCAAATGAATTATTCTTTTTGGATTTGGATGCCACTCTTAGAAGGTGAGTATACAGGAGAATTATGGGTACCAGTGTACCTACCCCCATCACACCTAGTGTTCAGCAGTTTCTGTGAAAAAAATTGCAGACCCTGTGCCCCACCCTCCCCGTTTACTTGATTTCACCCCAAGTGACATTTTTTGTTTCCCTGGATGAAAAGGTCCTCAAAGGGAAATCTTTGGCCAATGTGGAAAAGGTAAAACAAAAATGGCAGAAGCACTGAAAGGCATCAAAATCAACGAGCTCAAAAACTTTTTGAGCAGTGGAAAAAAACATCTCAATAGGTGTATTGCATCAAATGGGGAGTACTTTGAAGGTGACTGACGTTTAAATATGTAAAAATAAATACACAATTTTTTATAAATAAATACTGTTTTGAGGGATTCCGCTCCCCCTGGTATACATGCTTTAGGATTATTTGTTCTATTCCTATGAAAATACCATTGTAATTTTGGTAGAGAATGCATTGAACCTGTAGATTGCTTTGGGTAGTATGAACATTTTTAAACTATTAATTCTTCAAATCCATGAACATGGAAAATCTTTTCAATTACTTTTGTTGTCTTTGATTTCTATTATCAGTGTCCTATAGTTTTGAGTGTACATGTCTTACAGCTTGTTTAAATTTATTCTTTCCAATGAAATTATAAATAGGCTTGTTTTATCAATTTCTCTTTATGATAGCTTATTATTAGTGCATAGAAACACAACATATCTTTGCATATTGGTTTTGTATCCTGAAACTTTACTAAATTTCTTTACTAGTTCTCATAGTTTTGGGGTAGAATCTTTATGGTTTTTACATATAATATCATGTCATCCACAAAGAGTGATAGTTTTACTTCTTCCTTTCCAATTTGGCTGCATTTTATTTTATTTTTTTCTTGTCTAATTGCTCTGTCTAGAGCTTCCAATACTATGTTGATTAAAAGTGTAAAGAATGGGTATCCTTGTCTTTTCCTGATCTTAGAGTAAAAGCTTTCTGCTTTTCACCATTGAGTGTGATGTTAGTTGTGGGTTGGGAACATACTTTTAATAGGCAACAAACAGAAGCAGCAAGGTAGTCAATTACAATAACACAAGCAAGAGATGCCAGTGGGTTAGACAAGGGGTAGTCAGATGCGGAATAATTTCTTATTATCATGATGCAATTTAAGATGGTAAATTTGAGCTCAACAAAGCCATCCTGTACAATGGAACATGCTAGGTATGCAGGAGTAACTAAACCATGCCTTACCCTCAAAGCACTTTCTAGCTAGTGATATAAGCATGTAAATACTTAGCTATAACATAAGGGAAAAGAAAGTAAATCTATATAAAGGTGAAAGTTATTTTGTGGCATTACTTGAATATTTGAAGAAGGACATGTCTTATGAATTGGGCCTGGAGAGGGCAGAGGATTTCTACAGACAAAGAATAAAAATAAGATAATTCCAGTCTAAGAAACTACTAAGAAAAATACCTCTCATTGGACAAAAGATCTAATCTCAGTTCATTTCTTTTATTTTTTTCTTTTTCTTTTTTTATTTATTTTTTTATTTTTATTTTTTCCTTTATTTTTTTAATTTTATTTTAATTTACTTTTTCAAATACATTTGTCTCTGCCTCCCCCCGACCACTTTCCCATGCCCCCTCCCTCCTTCCCTCCCTCAGCTCTTCCCCTTTGGTTTTGTCCATGAGTCCTTGCCCTGTGTTCCTTGACTTTCCCCTTCCCTTCCTTTTCCCTGCCCTCCCTCCCTCCTTCCCTCTTGTCTCTGTTGATTTCTTTTCCTTTCAGTTCTTTTTCTTTCAATTCTTTTATTTTTTAATAACTTTATTTAATCTTTACTAACCTCTTTGCACTGCTTACAGTCTGCACCATGTAGTTCAGAGGTCAGCCAGAGATTTGGCAGAGTTTATAGGCAGATACTGGAACTCCCTCTCTCAGATGCTCTTCTTCCAGGATCTCCTCTCATTTTTAGATAGACCCAAGATGGAGAGGTCCTCTGGTGAGTATCCAACGATAATCCTACCATGAATTTGGGCAGAACTTGTGAACATGATGATGAGATATTACTCTCATCATCATGTTTTCTCATACAGACAAAAGGAAGATTATCCTGGATAGACCTGGCCTACCAGATTAACCCTATAAAAGCAGAGAATTTTTCTCCATTTGATCACAGAGGAAGAAGATAGAAAAACATGCCCTAGCTGGTCAGGAAGAAGCAAATGTCCCTGTTAATGAACTGTTTATAAGGGCCATGTGGCAAGGAACTGTGAGTATCTTCTAGAAACTTGAGAGTCACCCTGGAACAATAATTAGTAAGAGAACAGGGACCTGAGTCATAAAACCACAGAGAAATGAATTCTAATAACCAGTGGGCTTAAAAGAGGCCCCTGAGCCTCAGAAGAGAATCACAATGCTGGATGACACCTTAATGTTAGTTTGATGAGATCCTGAACAAAAGGCTCAGTTAATCTGTACTGTGAGATAATAAATGGGTGTTGTTTTAAACCATTACATTTGTGATAATTTGTTATAAAACCATAGCTAGTACACTCCAGTTGCCCTGAAATCTGTCCTCTGGTTCTTCAAGAAAACAAACCTATAGGTCTTTTATGAGAATTTTAATTTCTCCCTAAGATGCAGATGGGGCTAGCTCTCAGGATAAATGTTGTAGTAATAATAATAATAATAATAAATGAGAAACTTATCCCATGCCCTTCCTTTCTTCCAACTGACTTTCCTCCAAAATCTGCTTGAGTTTGTTCACTCTACTGCCTTCAGGTAGCTATCTTTTACATTTTGTCCAGGTTTTACATTTCTTGGGGGGTGGGGGGAGGATTGATTCAGTATATATGCTATTTGTCCATTCAGATTTTGCATTCATTTTGAAGGCACAGTGAATATGATTTGCTGGTGGATTAGAAGCAAGCATATAACAGGGGAATTTGGAGATTATGCTATGGTTCTGGGCCACTGCAAGTGAAAGGATGGAGTTGCCATTTGCAGGAGTGGGGAAGACCATAAATACAAGAAATTGCATATGTGAGTTTAGATTTCAAGGTTGAATACTGGGCTGCATATAAACATTTAAGATGTGTTTGTTTTTCTAAACCATGAGACTGAATTAAATCCTCAACAAAATAACTCTGAAAAGAGAAAAAAAGACCCCCCAAATGAGTCTTGACACATCCAAAATTTAATGATAAAGAGAAGTGAAACTGAAAAAGGAGACTGTGAAATAGCAAGTGAGAGAGGAGAAGCACAATGAGAAAGGAATGATCTCAAACCCAACTGAAGGCGTTTCAAAGTAACCAAGGAATGATTATTTGTATTTAATACTGTGTCAAATAAAATGAGCATTGAGACTTAACCACTGAATTCAGCAGTGAAGAGGTAGGTCTGTTTCAGCCGTTTCAGCAGTTAGAGAAGAAAGCATGACTAGAGTAGAGGACAAATAGGAGGAGAATAGGAATCTGCATATTTAAATAAGACTTTAGAACAATTTTGATAAACAGAAAAATGGAGTAATAGCTTAAGGAAGAAGTGGTCAAGAGTTTTATTTTATTGATGTTGATTTGTTTTTAACATTTATGGTATGAGAAAATTTATCGCACGTCTGTATGTTGATGGGATTAAATAATAGAAAAGGGAACATCAATGATGCAAGAAATAGAAAGGAGAGTTATTGTTAGAGCAATGTCTTTTTGTAGATTAGCAGATATTAGTACACAGTGAAGGGATTGGATAGAATCAGACAAAGATCATATGTAGAAATGGAAGTAAGGTCAGATTATGTGGGTTCAGATATAGATGGGTGGTTGATGTAGTAGTGGGACCTAGAGGTTTGAGAGAGAAAGGAAGGTACAAAATAGCCATCTGAAGTGTGAGAAGGGGAGCGAGCTAGAAATAATGGAATAGGCTCTCTAGGTGGTATTGAGGGTCCACGCAGCATTAGAGAGTGGTGATTTTGTAGTAAGACCAGTCAGGCTGTATTTAATCAACGTTGGGATTTTTCAATAGTGTACAAATGCATGATAGGGCAAAAAGTTGAGGCCATGTGGAAGAGACTGATTGTGATTGTCAATGACATCTAAACTGTGTAAAGGAGAAAATGAGGTGAGTGAATGAATGACAGTGAAAAGGTGGCAGGATGAACAAAACAACAAGGGACATTGGTAAGACAACAGATAGATAAGAGATCATAGATAGATAGATAGATAGATAGATAGATAGAACAAACAATATTAACAGAAATGTGGTTTTGAAGACTGAGTAACATATACAAGGGGGGTTATTGTACTATTACTCATTTCTACTTCTGGGTATATTTGAAAATGCTCACAAAAAGATGTTGTTGTTGTTTTAACTGATAATGGTTCATGCAGTCAAAAATTGTTGGTATCAGGGTTCCAGAAAAAGTGAGTTAGAAAGAAAGAATATAGAGTCCCAAGCATGATCTGAG